TATCTACGCTCATAAATCACCTATACTGTAATGGGCATGGCATGAAAGATGGAAATTACGTGGAAAAGCACGGAGGAAAACTTATCAAATGGCAGTAATTTTAAATATATGTCCTTTATAAGCGAACAAATCAATTACAGTATTTATAGTAAATATCCAGAGGATAATTATATAGATTCTCTGGCGTTACCTAAGACGACCGCGGCGGCGTGGCGCCCTGGCGGGTGTACTGTAGGACCATAAACTTTTCATTTCAATAACTCGACAGTAGTATAACCCACGGCGGAGATGAGTGAAAGTTTGTGGGTGAGGCAAGTGTGTGTGGGTGAGCCGAGTTTGTGTGTGTGTACTATTGGCAAGCGTCCAGTCTCCAACCGCCCTCAGCCTAGTGTGGTGTCGTATTCTAAGTACTCGTCTCGATATCATCCATTTTTTTTAATTATTTTACCTTTTTATAAGTCTTCTCGTGTCATTGTTCCAGATCTTCACACTCACACATGACGTATAACAGGCATAAATATATACGAGGAGGAGCAATATTGAATGAGGGCCGTAAGTTAAACATTAAACTCACTCCATACTTTTCCTTCAGTGTCGAGTTATTATCATTTTAATGTTTCAAATGCCAGGGTTCTTTAAGCATCAGTTACTAAGTCTTATTCTCTACACTAGGCAACAGTTCTTAATAATAGTCCCGAGGTGGGTGACGTCATCAATGTGTTTTAATTGTCAGGCATTAGTCATGGCGCCGCCGTAAAGTTCCCACGTTACAACCACAACAATGTCCTTATGAAAAACTTCTGACATTAATGAGTGAGTAAAGACAATCTTGCAGTTGTAATGTAAGAATTCACTCCCAAACTCCACGAAAATGTGTTTGGTAGTGTATGTACAGGATACATATTTTTCTGAGACACCCTGTGTATAATTTAAACTAGTATAGGTTCACTTAGACAACAGTACGCTAGTCATTCACTCACTGGTTTATTCACACTTGAAAATCATTAATACAGAATAAAATGAGTGATAATATTTAGGTCATAAGTTGTAAAAACATAAGTGAGAAGAACATCATAAGTTTTCTCTCGCGAGGCCGAGTCCACACGCTAACACAAGGACTCTAAGATACACTTGATTCACTTCAGCTTAACCCCTGGAGTACGATAACGTAACCTCATGAGTACGATAACTTAACCCCTTGAGTACGATAACTTAACCCCTTGAGTACGATAACTTAACCCCTTGAGTACGATAACTTAACCCCTTGAATACGATAACTTAACCCCTGGAGTATAACTTAACCCCTTGAGTACGATAACTTAACCCTTTAAAGAGACAAAAAACGACAGAAAGAGAAACAGACAGACAGACACATGTTTGACATCTACTCCACTTCAACGAATAGAAACTTCACCATTTCTTACACTACACCAGCATTTAACAGCTCTCACTACCAACCCACACGACATATATAAGTAAAGAAATAATTTTATAGACAGCGGACATTTCTTTTAATATTTATCTTACTTAAGCTACAAAGTTCTCGTAGCTAAACAATCTTGCACAAGCAGACGCCATGAAGGGTGACCACAAGGCACCAACGTCACCTGTTCTGAAAATTTATTGAGTCCAGTGATAAGGCGTTTTCTGGTTAAGTGATAAATGAAGATATGTTTTTAGTTTTTTTTTTTATAAAGGTCATGGTTAAGGGCGACGAAATTGTATTCTTTTAAGTTATCGTAAATTATCAGTCAATATTCAGAATAGCTTGTGTGGGAATTATTTCTCTTATCTGAAGGTATTAGTACAGTTAAACCTCCATATAACGGACTTCTCTCTCTATATATATAATCCGTTAGAATTTGATGGAGGGTTTCACATCTAACGGACCCAAGTTTGTGTATATGACGTCACGTAGTCAACTAATTAGGCTACACGTATGGTAAGTGACGTCACGTAGTCAACTAATTAGGCTACACGTATGGTAAGTGACGTCACGTAGTCAACTAATTAGGCTACACGTATGGTAAGTGACGTCACGTAGTCAACTAATTAGGCTACACGTATAGTGAATCAAGGACTGTGGTGAATGACGTCATGTAAAATACAGTCAACCAATTTATCTACACATCATAAAAAACTCTTGTATTTTAAGCATTAACAAACGTAACAGCCTAGTAAGGTGGGTGTGTGTGTGTGTGTGTGTGTGTGTGTGTGTGTGTGTGTGTGTGTGTGTGGAGGGGCGTTTAAATATATATTAAACACACTTGACCACATCCTCCAGGGGCGTCACGTCCAGACGGTAAACACAGACATCAATCACCCAGCAAACACATACATAAAGAAGTTTGAGTTACAGAGTAGAAACGTTCATCAGCGACACGACACTGGTTCACGCCCCGACAATTACCACCACAGTGATCACTAGAAAACGTTTGGTGGCAGATGACGCACCTCGGGAACACAGACGAACAAAACTTTCTTTCCAATGACAGTATCACAACCGAACAGCCATATTTTCTCATAGATATTATTGGTTTTATTTCTATATACTTTTGCACAGACTCAGTACTTTATATATATATTTTATTTTTAACTTAGATAAACATAAGTGTAACACAGGAAAAAAAAATTGACAGAAGCACCATACATGACGCCGCACCGATAAATAGTTCTAAAATTACTACTGTCACTGAGTACACAACAGGAAAGTTAAACATTAATTCTTGAGAAATTACCCACTTTCATGTCGTAATCTATAAACAACGAGAAAGTGTTAAAGAGTCTGATATTAACACTGATTTTATACTCTTCTGGCTACTCAAAATAGCGTAGGAATATATAGCAAAAATTAATAGAAAAAAATAAAAGAAAATAGGCATAAATAAATATTGGTGATGTGTATAGTGATGTGTAAATGGTGTGGAATATGTATAGTGATGTGTAGGGATGTGTAGATGTTATGGAGGAGTGTGTGTAGAGACAGAAGGTGGGGTAGGTGTAGAAAGCGACGGTCCGTGAGATAACAGCTTCACCAGGTGGAAGTGTTGGCCAGCTGGTGACGTGACACACACACCTACACACGTACACACACCATTAAGAAACTAGATGAAACACTGTTCATTAGTGTGTGTGTGTGTGTGTGTGTGTGTGAGGAGGTTGTGTGTGTGTGTGTGTGAGGAGGTTGTGTGTGTGTGTGTGTGTGTGTGTGTGTGAGTACGTGTTTATTTATGTATGTATGTATGTATGTTTATGTAAGTGTATGTGTGTGTGTGAGTACGTGTTTATTTATGTATGTATGTATGTGTGTGTGAGGGGGAGGGGGGAGGGGCAGGTCACAGGTAGGTTGTCAGATACCCATTATTACCCACCTAACTTTCACCTGTAGTACCTGCTCTTAATCAGGATTCTAAAGCAACCATAAGAGTTCCCTTCTATCTGGTCTTAAGAGAAACTGAATTTAATTATGGTACAGTTCCACACCAAATCTGACGACGTTGTATACACTAGATAAAAAAAAATCCCGCCACATCTCCGTAGCCCCTCATGACGTCACAGCAAAACAAAAACACTCAACTCACCTGTACAACCGACCCTTAACCTGTTCTCTTGTATATTAGGCGTTCACGATTTGCAGCACTGGTGATAAAAAGTATAAATAGAAAGCGCTGAATGAAAGCAGTAGCAGAAAATTCGTATTGTGAACTGGATAATATAGAAAGCGTGGGTTAATAACTTGTCCTGTTAAGCGGTGAGGTGATTGGACGAGGGGTGTGTAAGTGGCCATGTTTGAACATTTATAAGTGGCCAGTGTTTGAACGTTTATAAGTGGCCAAGTTTGAACGTTTATAAGTGGCCAGTTTTTGAACGTTTATAAGTGGCCATTTTTGAACGTTTATAAGTGGCCATTTTTGAACGTTTATACATGGCCATTTTTTGAACGTTTATAAGTGGCCAGTTTTTTAACGTTTATAAGTGGCCATTTTTGAACGTTTATACATGGCCATTTTTTGAACGTTTATGAGTGGCCAGTTTTTGAGCGTTTATAAGTGGCCAGTGTTTGAACATTTATGAATGGTCAAGATAGACAATAAATGAAAAATATTTAGACAACAACTTGGTCAATGTTCACGACAAATAAGAGAATAAGAACATTATTTCCTTCATACACTTCTTCACTAACTTTAATAATTAATATTTCAAGAGGCCATGTTTATACCAAGAACCTTTTACAATTAATGTATCTAAAAAAAATAGTAAAAACTGATGTATGTGTGTGTGTGTGTGTGTGCGTGTGTGTGTGTGTGCGTGTGTGTGTGTGTGTGTGTGTGTGTGTGTGTGTGTGTGTGTGTATGTGTGTGTGTGTGTGTGTGCGTGTGTGTGTGTGTGCGTGTTTACATTATCCAAGTTTCACCTGTGAATTCCCCACCCCAAGAAATCTGATGCGTTTAATTAGAGATCACCAAGAGACAATTAAAGAGACCACAGAGAGAAATAAGAGACAATATAATAACAAGTTAATTCACTGAAAATAATCTCTAGAGGCCATCAAGACGCCATGACAGCTGCCTCTTGCACGATAATAACCTTGACGCCTTTCTGCTTACTCATTACTTTCTATCTTGAGGGCAATTAACGAATATTTTAAACAATTTATCCATTAGATCTAACGACATATGAAGAGAAGGATGACTTTTGTTGACTAAAAGATTATGGTTTAAATTTGATGAATAATTGCGTAATGGTGTATAAGCTTTCTTTGGGTTAAGCTAAACTGCCTTACTGTTTACCGTTTCAATACTGTACTATATACGCTGTTTAGATACATGCAATATCTATATACATCATGAATCAATGTGAACCTTTATGAGGATATTCTTTTAACATTTATATCCTTATGTGTGTATGCCCTTAACGATAGATGGAGAGTTCACACGTGTCCATGCCGACGGAGGCAGGAGGTGGGCGGGGCCTCTCTCGCCACCCATTATAAAAACCCGAGACGCGAGGAGTTTATCATCACTATCACGGTAACTCCTGCACTGGCGACATGAAGCTCCTCTTGCTGGTACGTCATATTGTGGTGTATGTGTGTGTGTGTGTGTGTGTGTGTGTGTGTGTGTGTGTGTGTAATAAGTCACATAAAGACCTGTGTTGAGCTGTCACAAGGAAACACAATTTTGGAGTTTATTGTGCTGCTAACTGTTGCCCCTTTGAGTACACACTTCATTGTACTCATAGGGTTAAGACATTGTACTCAGGTTTGACATATCGTACTCAGGTTAACCTAACCTAACCTATCTTCACCAAATTCAACTCTTATCTTTTAAAAGGAGTGGTTTACGATTACTTGTGTTGACATCTGAAGAAAGCGTCAAAATTCTATAGGTCTATACGTCACGGCCTAGATGACAAACGCCCTCAAGATGTAATCAGTCCCACACCTCATTAGACGGTGGCTACAGTCAACACTTTCCTCTCATTCTGGCACTTGTCATGTCTTCTGAGAATCATTCAGGTTAATAAGACTTCCTCCTGTGAGAGAGAAATTCCATTGTGGTCTTGAGAGAAGCCATAGGAAGGAATAAAGATCACAGTAGACAACTGCGGGGTCTATGAGAACAACAATGATATATTTATAATAGTTGAATTAACAAGCAGGTCTGATGTCTCCGTCCACTTAATAAAAGAAAACAATTAAATGGAGTTAGGTTTAAATGGCAGAATCATTAATCATAACAGAGGGGACGCATTCATTGTTGGAGATTAATTAACGTTCACAAGGAGGAGGATTCATGACTGCGGAAATTAATGGTGTAGCGGGAGGCATTAATACTCGTTCCCTGTTATTATCTAATTAATGATATTATATGTAGTAGTCAACACACTACTTGAAGAGACTTTCTGTGAATTATAGTTAGTTTTATAAGATACAGAGGAAGTATTTTGTTAATGGGGAACTTAAAAATTTTACTTATCTGAATTATTATTATTATTATTATTATTATTATTATTATTATTATTATTATTACATTTTCGCCCCCCAGACCCCGATGTGGGTCAGTGACCTGTGTCCGGGTGGGCTAATCCCCATAAAAAAAAGAGAATACTCAAGATATTTTGTTGATTATTGAATGTTTTGCTGTCAGGTTTAGTGTATATGGCGGCAGCTGGCATCCTCGTCAGAAATTTATCCACAATTTAATTTTCTTTCCGCACCATTTGTTCCATCTCCCAACTCTAATGACAGTTTCACTAAAGAGGCTCAGTGTTATGGGTCCCACAAGGGCGATTCACTGCAACTTTCCCTTATTGGTTTGGAGAGGCAGCCATGACAGTAGCTGGTGTTGTGAGAGTGGAGGCGAACACTTTCTAAACAACGGACACTTTCTGTGGGTGTTCGGCTATTTACGTTACGGTCCACGGAGCGTGAAATTACCTAACGTTAGTCTGGTCTTAAGCCTAACTTACAATAGTATTAAGATGAGAGCAAATCAACATTATCTAAAGTCTTAAAATTTACCAAGTCCGATGTTGACGTCTTACCCCGACATGCTCATTCACAATATGGACGAAAAAATATATATTTACCAACTTAATATTAATCGATGGTTTAACCACTTGAGGACGAAGCCTCTTATTTTTTGAGTTGGGTGAGAGAGAGAGTGAGAGTGGGAGACTGAAAGAGAGAGTGAGAGACAATGAGGACCAATCGTTCAGCTTCACTGTTAAAACCGGGTTGTGTTGAGGGTAATGACACGGGGGAGGCTCAACGCTCATACTGAGTTATGTGACCTGTTTTTAAGACATCGTATTTAAGGGGTTAAGATATCGTACTCAAGAGGTTAAGATATCGTACTCAAGGGGTTAAGATATCGTACTCATAGGGTTAAGATATCGTACTCAAGAGATTAAAGACTAGCCCTGAAACACCGGACACCTTACATACTCCACTGGCTAACGGCGACAAGAAAGTTAATTTTCAATCCCAAGCGGGAAATCGAACCCAGGGCCTCTTAATTACGAGGTGAGTGTGCAAACCACTTGGCCAGGGAAACTCAAAGTGGCCACCTGACGTCTTTCTTATGGTTGTGACTTGGTGTAGTGGTGGTAGAGGGCAGATGGTGGTAGTTGTAGTAAATAGTGGTAGTAGTGACAGGTGTTGGTTAATGATGATGGTAGGTAATGCTGGTTGGTGATAGTGGTACGGAATGTTTGTAGGTGTTGGTAATGTTGGTTGATGATGGTGGTAGGTGTTAGTGATGGTGGTTGACGATGGTGGTAGGTGTTGCGTGACCGGCTAGAAGACAATAGTGGTTCACCTGTCCGACACAACACACTTCTCCACACCTGACTAAACACGACACACTTTACCAATGGTGTGGTGAAACTGGTGGTGGTGATACTGGTAGTGGTGATACTGGTAGTGGTGTGTGGTGGTAGTAGTGGTGGTGGTGGTGGGGGGACGATAGTGAACAGAGGCGGTACAAATAATAATAATAACAGACATTAATTAAGCTGGACGTTTCTGGCAGACTGATCAATTAGTTTATTCTTTGATAGAGGAAGTGGGACCCTAGTTGTGTCACCAGGTACCCTTGTAGTCTGATGATTTCTGTTTGTATGTTGAAGTCTCCAGGTACTGCCGTGTCCTCTCTCTGTGAATCTCGACCTTGAGGGAGCCAGACACAACAGACGTCTAGAGCGTTAATTAATGTGGCAATACCTGGAGGGGATCACCTGAACTGAGTAGTGTTGTTGTTGTTACAGGTGTGTGTGAGTGTGGTGGTGGCCTCCCCCCTGCGGCCACGGTCCTCAGCGCCCTCTGTGTACGACTACTATGACTTCGTAGAAATCCCGCGGACAAAACCCGTCATATCTGATAGATCTGACGGCCCTATGCCCCAGCGCCCCCTGCCACCCCGTCACCCGGCTCCGTCCCGTCAGAGGCCTCAACCACCCTCCCGGAGGATCCCTGACTATAAGGCGAGTCAGTCTGATGTGTTCGTGCCTCAGTACCGGCCACAACCACAGTTTAGACCACAGTTCAGACCGCAGCAGAAGCCGACGCCAATCATCTACAGGGAGGACCCCGTGTACGAGAAGCCAGTGTTTGTGGCGCGGCCCAAGTACCAATCTGAGCCCGTCATCTACGTGGAGGAGAAGCCTCTCCCCCTTCAAGAACGACCACTCTTCCAGGACCAGTCGGGACGCTACCAGGAGGAACGACCCCCTCTGAGCGACGACTACCCTCCCTACCTGCCACCTCCACCCACCTACCCGAGAGATGGTCGCCCCCAGTACGACGGCCTACCACAGTATGAGATCCTGCCCGTGTATGAGGACCAGCGTCAGTATGAACAGCTCCCACAGTATGAGGAGGAGTATGAAGAGCTCCCTCAGTATGAACAACGCCCACATTCCGAGGAACACCCACAATTTGAGCAACGCCCACAGCCTGTAGAACGCCCACAGTATGTAGAACTCCCTCAGTCTGAAGCACGCCCACAATTTGAACAACACCCACAATTTGAGCAACGCCCACAGTCTGTAGAACAGCCACAGTATGTAGAACTCCCTCAGTCTGAAGAACGCCCACAGTATGAACAACGCCCACAGTCTGAAGAACGCCCACAATTTGAGCCACGCCCACAGTCTGTAGAACAACCACAGTATGTAGTACTCCCTCAGTCTGAAGAGCGCCCACAGTATGAACAACGCCCACAGTATGAACAACACCCACAATACGAGGACAACTCACTCCAGCAGCAGCCCCAGGAGACAGTAGCACCTGTGGAGCACCTCAAGAAGGACGTCCGCCGCCCCGCCATCAACAACTTCGTGCCCAAGGCGAAGGGGAAGAAAGATGACGATGACGTGAAAGAGAAGAGACAAGCGGTTCACGGAGGCGGCCCCCATCTTGACTCTGCCGGAGAACAGGTCAGTATTAGTCAACACCCCTCCTCCCCCCCACAACCCTAGTCAACACCCCTCCTCCCCCCACAACCCAACACCACTGCCCCTCTATCACTGTAGCCAAACACCACTGTATTTCTTTACCACTGTAGCCAAACACCACTGTATTTCTTTACCACTGTAGCCAAACACCACTGTATTTCTTTACCACTGTAGCCAAACACCACTGTATTTTTTACCACTGTAGCCAAACACCACTGTATTTCTTTTCCACTGTAGCCAAACACCACTGTATTTCTTTTACCACTGTAGCCAAACACCACTGTATTTCTTTACCACTGTAGCCAAACACCACTGTATTTCTTTACCACTGTAGCCAAACACCACTGTATTTCTTTACCACTGTAGCCAAACACCACTGTATAACTGTATTCTACGCCCTGGTTTGCCTACAGTTCGTGGCGGACGCATCACAGGTGGAGAGCGGCAAGGGTGACGGTCGGCTGTCCTTCCAGATTCATGGTCAACAAGGTCCTCACTCCTACCGCTTCGGCTACGACACGGGCAAGGGGTGAGTCCTGTGGCTGTTAAGTTAGGCTATAGTTGTTATGGTTAGGTTAGGCTACATTAGGGTTATTTTATGGTGTGGTACGGTTAGGTTAGGTTAGGCTAGATTGTGATAAGATTAGATTATGCTTAAGGAGAGGTCCAGTTGTTCTCCCTGCAGTGTGTGAGTAATGGGTAAACTAGACTCAGATATAGTTCAGGGTGTCGTAATAATAACTGGGAGTTTATGAAGCTAGTGTAAAACTTGAGTGGTTACTGTAAAATGGGGTAGTGGCGGCCGAGTGGATACAGTACTCGCATCCTATCCTAATGAGCAGTGGTTAGCGCCTGTAGCACCATTAGTTCTCCTAGATGTGATGGTGTACCAGGCTTAACAGTTGGGGGAATGAAGGCGGTCAAGTGCAGTGTGGTTTAGTCTACGGTGTGCTCTACCAACACACCCTAATGGGCCTTGAAGTCACTTAGTCTACGGGACATACTTTCACTTTTCACCGTACAAATACAGTACGTTCTTATGAGAGAGAGTTATGTAATTTTGCTAAGTAACTGCTGGGAAAAAAATGTTGCGTAACTGTTGTGTAGGTGTTTGCGTATAAGCGTTGTGCCATTAACGTTCCCCAAACAGATCACTTCAGATACTGTACTGTCACCTCTCACCAAGACATGAGCAAACAACGACTTTCTTTCCATTATCAGACTCACGTTTGAGGCTCGAAATCTCCTGCAGTTTCTTAGTACAGTAATTAAAACCATCTTCAATCTCTTTTTCTCATGAGCACACCGTACAACAGCAGACAATCCCCCGTTGTAATTGGTTTACTGGCGAGAAAGATCAATGAAACAGGATGAAGTTCCCATAAATATGTATTGTAGTTTTGAATTAATACAAACATAACAGTGTAACGTAAACAAAGTTCATTCAATGATGCAGAAAATTATCTCGAAAATTGTAGTGTCGTCTTCATTAATGATAAAAACCCATAGGTCTAGTATCAATCATCGTGTTGTATGTGTGTCTGCCTTTCAGTCTTATCAAACACATATATATAACATGTACCACAAAATCTAACAACAAAACTCGTCATTATCACACTACTTGCAGAACTAGTGTTAGCCTGGGACCAATACGCTCTTAAAAAGTATATTCTGGTATGTTTTATTATCTAAGTGTTTAAAAAATATATAAAAATACGTTCCCTACACTCGAAACACACTATACAAGTCATGTAAATACTGTGAAAAGTACAAACTGTAGTGTTAATGAACGGCAGATGGTGAGCGCAGGATGTTGACATGTGGCACAGTCGTCAATTTCACCACCACCATGCGACAAACATCATATAGTGAGGGAGAGTTTATGTCTCCTCCCTGTGAATCTCGGTGTCGCAGAGGCTCTTATCATTTTTTTCTTCTCCTTTATATATCTACTTTATCTTCGCTTCTCGCAGCTTAGGAAGATATACGCGGTGATGTTACCTTACAATAACGTATAATGTCTTAACTCATTCCAAGACTTTATTGCCAAAAACGTTTACCACATTAATAACTGCGGGGACCACATCTTAACTTTATTTTTTTTATTATAACCAGGCGACAAAAACAGTATTCTAGCCAGCTCTGATCCTATGAACTGATACTTCAAGAAAAATAAAGTAAAGGAGAATTTAGCCATTGGATGCCTCAAGCCAGGAATGAGGAAACGCATAAATTGTTGACTTAATCAGTGAAAGTGTTCGGCGCCTCACAGAGAGTAGCCTAGTATGGTTTGGTTTTAATTTTACATGTTGATTAATGTATTACTACGCGATAAACAAGTAAGGTATTAAAGCAAGTATTTATAGGTTGGTGCATACTATTGTTTTCTATTTATACGTGGGGGTTCAAATTGATGGTATAGAGTAATTCCTCCATGACAGTAATACAGCTGTTAGCCTAATACCGGTTGTTTAGTTTCTGCTCCAAAACAGATCTAGAGAAACTAACCGACATTAACTTCCTACACTGAAAACTTACTAAACCGCGACACTTTCTCCAGTCCTGCCAAACATTTTTCTCTCCATCGTGTCACTTTTAGCGAGGAGTCACATCATAAGTTTCCTACTTTCTCCATCGCCCTTAAATTTCACTATCCATAAGTTGTTGCGGCTGGGAAGTACAAAAAAAAATTAGTTTGTCGTGTCCTGAAATAAATTATATAGCTTATATAATCACCACGCTTCATGTCAGCGGCGGATCATAATAGGGGAAGTGACGCTGAATATTTTAAGTCATTACCAAGTGTGAACATTTTCTTGGGGGGGGGGTTAAATAATGACAAGAGCGAGGAAATTTGTGGTGTGTATAACAAAGCTGTCAATAGATGTAATTTTGTGCAATGCGGTGTAACCTGTTGAGAAAGATTAGTATGTTAACATTGTATAACTAATACAAATACGAAAACGAAGAAAAAAATAAAATACGAAACTACAATTCCTATATATTAAGTAAATACAATTAATAGAGGGATAAATATATTGACTTACAATGTGTCAGGGCTCAGGGCAAGTGGAGGTTGCCGCCGACTTTCACTAGTTCTGGCGCAGTTAACACTACCTCAGTTTTCTCCAGCACATGTTATCAGCTCAAGTAACGGAGTTGTCCACCGCGGGCGTACTTTTCTCTCTTGTACTGGTCTTCCTGTGCAGTTAGCCAGCCGTTGTGCTCTTAAGTAACCGGGCAGGGTTCTTGACCGAGGGAAAGGCTACGTCAAATGAGAAACTGATTTGCCTGACCAACGTCTAATATTCACTTAGAAGTTATTCATTATTTTGTATCTTCTCCTGTCCATCGACCACATTCCTACGGTGATTTGTTTCATTATTGGCCACAACATCTTGCAGTTTATCAGAGGCTAGGCAAGGAGGTACGTTTTGTTCAGTTTCCCCCCACAGCTAAAATGTCTTTACAGAAAACTGTTTACTCAACTATTACGTCATTTCAACAGGTCTCAATACTACTTTATATTATTATTCTAAATGTGGTCTCAAATTCTCCGAGGTTAACTGAATTTTCCTCGTAAAATGGAATGTAAGAATGCATATTGTTGGCTAACGTAAGCTAAAATTAAACACATTCAAATTACTTCAGAATCAGACTAAAGTTAATAGATACGTTCACTTTGCACTAGTCCGTAGAATATCAATAGAATCTTTGTCTATCTCGACTTTGTCATGTACAATATATCATCACATCTTAAGGCTTGTAAATATGTTTGATAATTGGACAAGAGAACAGTGTACAGCCATAGATCGCTACTTCATTACACCACTTAGGGGAAAATATATTGTTATAAGCCTTTAAGAATCCAGACTCGGGTATTAAAGCAGTGAAGAATTAAGACTAATTATATCAACATGGTGTAAAATTACTGAACTCGTTACATTACCATTTATAAATAATCAATGGGTAGCTCAGTGAAATGCTACCATGTTACTATTTCCGTTTCATATAGAATTTATTTATTCAGATAGCTGCCCAATGTGTGTGTGTGTGTAGATAAACATGTTCCCAGGGCTCACACCTTCACCTGGGACAGACACCAAGAACAGTGACGTAATACAATATTCTGTCATCATCTCCAGGTACAACCGTCAGTTTAGGTACGAGGAGAGGGACGGGTATGGACAGGTTCATGGTCGTTATGGCTTCCACGACAAGGATGGCAAACTCCAGGTGGTGAACTACTCAGCTCACCCAGACCACGGCTTCACAGCAGATGTTCCTCACTAGGCAACTACCCTCTAACCACGAGTAGTTTGCCTCACCTACAATGGCCATCACACTCACTACTTTACTATAAGTAATACTAAAACACCTCACTGGTCGACACACTTAACATGTCAAGAAAAACTCACCACCACACTACCTCTGACTCTCCCGTGAGTTAAAATTCCAAAAGAACTAATGAGGTTTAAAGCCTTCCTAACAATTGGTCACTAATATTTTAACATTCTATGGTTAGTGTGTTACCTGGTTGAGGCTGGTCACGTGCACTCTATGGGATGAAGAACAATGTGAAGTTGATGATGGTCAGTAGATGTAATTTACAAAAGTCTAGTCACTCAGGTGTGGCGAGTGGGGAGGAAGTGTATATTATTATCATTAATTGGAAGAGTAAAAAATTCCACATTCATTCTCTTAACAAAACTTCTTTCTTAATTATCAACAAGTTAGTAATATTGACTGTACACATGACATGACCTATCAACACATAACAAAATGCCATATCAAGATCACATTTCTGTACATTTTCATTTGAGGATTTTTTTTTTCCATTGACAGAAAGTTACGCACCCAGTTAAATAATAGACAGAGAAAGTGACAAGTATATGTTCCACCAAACTGGAGAACATAAGTTGTCAATCTAGCGGTGAGCAATGACAGTACTCCCCCCCCCCCTCGCTCGCCCACTCCTGTCTCAAGGTATAACAGGCTTCTCCTCAGACAGGCAAACTTCTCTATTGTTCCATATACTGTACCTATAACACATAACGTTTTGTAGGTTAAAACCATTTCTAACTTTTATAACAAATAATTTAATTTAAACTACTAACATTGTATTTTGTTTACTATTTTTATATGTATATTTTATTGTTAATATTATACTGTACAGGGCTGGAACCTGTCTGTTTTATTTAATATTAAAGCTGAAGCAAAATATACACGAGTATCACTTAACCTGACCTAACCTAACCTAACCTAACCTAACCTGACCTAACCTGACCTGACCTAACCTGACCTAACCTAACCTAACCTGACCTAACCTAACCTGACCTAACCTGACCTAACCTGGATTCTTAACCTGACCTTGACCTAACCTAACTCCTGACCTTATTTCCGGATCAACCCACCTTTCATCATACAGTAAATCGTTATAATAAATGTCTCAAAGACTAACTGTGATGGCTGACCACTGTACTGAGTCATACCTTTTGAGCTCATTAACACATCTGTTTTACCAATCAGTGTTATAATGTAGTCTGTAGTCTAATAATTACTGTATAATGTAGTCTGTAGTCTAATAATTACTGTATAGTGTAGTCTGTAGTCTAATAATTACTGTGGTAATGTCTGGAGTCTAATAAATTACCAATAGTAGTCTTGAGTCTAATAATTACTGCAGAGTGTAGTCTGTAGTCTAATAATTACTGTATAATGTAGTCTGGAGTCTAATAATTACTGAATAATGTAGTCTGGAGTCTAATAATTACTGTATAATGTAGTCTGTAGTCTAATAATTACTGTATAATGTAGTCTGTAGTCTAATAATTACTGTATAATGTAGTCTGTAGTCTAATAATTACTGTATAACGTAGTCTGTAGTCTAATAATTACTGTATAATGTAGTCTGTAGTCTAATAATTACTGTATAACGTAGTCTGTAGTCTAATAATTACTGTATAGTGTAGTCTGTAGTCTACTAATTACTGTATAATGTAATCTGGAGTCTACTAATTACTGTAATAAATCGTACAAATGGCTATATTTTATTTGTTAGTACTGTACCTTCATTTCATATTCTACTCAACACACACTTTAAAAAATAATAACAGCTACTCATAATTCTCTGAGTGTTTATTTAATGATTCCTAGAAGTATGTATGTTTGGTAATGTTGTACCCACCTGTCCAGTGATATAAGCTGGGGTGCCTAGTGCTCAAGTGAAATAAGCTGGGGTGCCTCGTCTTCAGGTGAAATAAGCTGGGGTGCTTTGTGTTCAGGTGAAATAAGCTGGGGTGCTTAGTGCTCAGGAGAAATAAGCTGGGGTGCCTAGTGTTCAGGTGAAATAAGCTAGTGGTTAGTGCTCAAGGAACAGCCAAAGCCGTCTTCAGGTGAAATAAGCTGGGGTGCTTTGTGTTCAGGTGAAATAAGCTGGGGTGCTTAGTGCTCAGGAGAAATAAGCTGGGGTGCCTAGTGTTCAGGTGAAATAAGCTGGGGTGGCTGAGCCAAGGGAAATAAGCTGGGGTGCCTAGTGTCCCGGTGAAATGTTGGGGAGCCTAGTATCCAGGTGAAATGCTGGGTGCCTAGTGCTCAGGTGAAATAAGCTGGGGTGCTTAGTGCTCAGGGAAATAGTGCCTAGTATCCAGGTGAAATAAGCTGTGCTGAAGTGCTCAGGCAGAATAGAGCTTTAAAAGTAGTGTTCAGGTGAAATAAGCTGGGGTACCTTTATCTTCCTGTGAACTAAGCTGGGGAGCCTTAATCTTCCAGTGAAATAAGCTGAAGTGCTAATCTTCTAGTAAAATAAGCTGGGGGGCCTTAATCTTCCAGTGAAATAAGCTGAAGTGTTAATATTCAAGTTAAATAAGCTGGGGGGCTTTAATCTTCCAATGAAATAAGCTGGGGGGGGTCAAGTGTTCATGTGATATAAACTGGGGTATCCAAGCTCGAGGTGATCCACAACAACACAACCTGAGACCTACTGTACAGGTGTGGCCCCGGTACACCTGTCTCCTGAAGGTTGATCTGCTCGACTCCTTGTCCAGTTCCCGTTACTCCTTGGATGTGTAGAGCCTGAGAACACAAACAACAGCTATTTAGTAAAGTAATTATTTATTTCAGTCCTTTAAATTATTTCAATACTCATTATCGTCATTTCTCTGAGAACTGAAAACTAATGAACGGAAAGATAGTCTATATTGCTGAGAACCTGGTGTATGACGGTGATTTAAATCTTGTGGTGGTTGTTGTGGTAGTTGTAGTGTTAGGATGGTGGTTGTTGTAGTGTTAGGATGGTGGTTGTTGTGGTGCTAGGATGGTGGTTGTTGTAGTGTTAGGATGGTGGTTGTTGTAGTGTTAGAATGGTGGTTGTTGTGGTAGTTGTAGTGTTAGGATGGTGGTTGTTGTGGTAGTTGTAGTGTTAGGATGGTGGTTGTTGTGGTGTTAGGATGGTGGTTGTTGTAGTGTTAGAATGGTGGTTGTTGTGGTAGTTGTAGTGTGAGGGGTTATAGGTTATATGTGTAAATTAATATTGTACATGATTGTGCATAATTAGCAGAAAGATAATTGTCCCAGATGAGTATTGAAGCCATAAATATTGACATTACCAGTGTTAAATTTTGTTGTGTACTCCCACCTGAGATGCTGGTACCTGTTTCGAAGTTGTTCATTTAGTATTAACGTGATGTTATAAGGAACGTATTAATATCTTAGCAAGTGTGTGTAAAATAACCATCTTTAGTGTCAAATAAATAATATAACAGATGTTTAATGTCTCAGTATGTTGAAAATGCCATCTTATTCACTTATGACTTTAATAAATATTGAATTAGTAAATTGTGAGTATCACCGCTACTTTCCTTTTAACAATTACTTCTCAGAAAATAAACACTAACTCACGTGTCTCAGCTCGTATCTGCCACGCTGCCTAACACCTTATGATGGTAGTAATATTCTCATAAAAGCCTGGGTGGTGGCCGACAACCTTTAAGTATAATAATTATACCAATAGGTGTTGTTAAAGAATGATAACTAAGAACTGACAAATATTGAAAGAATAAGAAGGATAAAAAATATAAATAAGTAAAAACATTGAAAGAAATAGATAAATAAAAACTTTTCTATTCCTCCCTGACAGATGAAGCTTTCAACATCACTCACCATGGATCTTGAATGTTTCATCTGCAAGTAGACATATCTAACCTAATGTAACACATACGCAGTCATTTGCAATTTCAAATCTCCGAACATCATATGAGATATTAAGACATATTAGAGTCTGTGCAAATACTCGAGGGAAAACCGGAGACTCAGGCGTACTGAAGCGATGAGAAAACGGACGCCTCAGATGGGGGACTCAACAAAGAGGTTATAACTACATGTTTTATGGGCTATTGGGCGTAATATGAATCGTCAGTATAGTAGTAGTAGTAGTAGTAGTAGTAGTAGTAGTAGTAGTAGTAGTAGTAGTATCGGTTAATTTACATTCGTTCACCTTTATTTCTTTGGGTATTAGAAATATGTGTACAGAAAAATACAGAAAATCACCAAAAACTAACCAAACCTAACTTAACCTAATAAGGGGGTCCAGGGGGCTGATTAGGTTAACTTAGATAGAACGGTGCACTAATTTAAAAAGATGTAGTATCAAGAACGAGGAAAGATTCTACACAGCAGCAAGTAAATTAATTATTTGTACAAGTTATCGCTTTAAATTCTCTTCGTTGAAATTATTATAGAAAATGGTCACATCAAATTTATTCGCGGGGTAACTTGTATAAAGTGACTGCCTCAGCCTTTTTAACACACACACACACACACACACACACACACACACCTTCCTCTAGGGTGAATGAGTAGGTGAAGCTCAGTCCTCATGACAGCTAACTTAACCTAACCTAACCCAACATATAACCCGACTTGACCTAACCTAACTTAATGCAACCTAACCTATACTAACCAACCCAGCCAAGGTCAGAATAGGTCACACTTAAATTGACCTCCTCCCCCTCACACACATACACACACACACACAAACTTCAGCTACACATGCATAAACAAAGAGAAGTTGACATGAATACACAAACAAGACGACAAACAAACCCTCCAGTCATACACAAACACCAACAAACACAATTACAATAACATTCAAAACAAGATGGCTAACAAGATCAAAACAATGACTAAACAAAACACTAACACCCTCTTCAGAAAATAATCAAGAAAACATTTAAATAACAGGAAAGTAAAAATATAAAAAAAATTAGAAAAAAAAAAAAGCGAGTGATTTTTACTCCAGACGGAAGAGCTAACTGGGCATGGCGGACCTTACAGCAACCTAAGAGCAATGTCAACAAGCTCCACCCTCCTCCACGACAAGTTAAAAGAATCGTCAATATTAATCACCTATTTATTGCTTATACACAACTATTATTATATATTCTGGTATATAAACAGGTAGAGAAAAAGATGAGGAAGATGTGAGAATGATAAGATGAGGTGAGAAATGCACAAGTGAATAGGAAAGACAAGGGTAAATGTGGTGGTGCCTTAGTGCAACACTCGCCTCCGGCCATGACTAACCTTGACTCCTCTGCCTGCTGCTTCGGTGAGGGAGGGAGGGGGTGGGCGGGTGAGTTCCTTGCCAGAGACCACCAACCACCACGCCACCCTCGCCTCGCCTCGCCCTACCAACACATGTATATCAACCACCAGCCTTTAAGGAACAGGTTCTTCTGGTTCTTCTTTGGTTGCTATGAAATGTGTCGCCTCTCTCCCTTCCACTCTCTCTCTTAACCTCCCCCCCCCCACCTTGTTACTGCTCCGTACTACGTCTTCAAGTAACACAACGATTGCAATAAACTACAACAACTTCATATTCTTCACCTTTACAACGTCTCATTATGATCTGTTTACATTATGTTTACAATGTGACGTAATTTACCCGCGTAAATATTAGACGCGAATTTACAGAGATAGACAGATATTGAGTAAAATCGTCATATATGTTACAATGATTCAGTATGTATTTTGACAGATCAGGTATACAATATGCATAAATAGATGCTTCAAGTTGTCATTGTAAATTATTAATAGAAAATAATTTTTAGTTTTTAGTGAAAAGAAGAGCGCGCGTGTGTGTGGGTGAAGTGAGAGTGAGTGCGTGAGTGGTTGTTGGTAGACGAGAATCAAGATGTTGCCTCTACAGCAGAAGGCGGTAGTCTGTCCCTCAGGCAGTCACACAGCTGCTATCAGCTCCATCTCGCTTAGTTTTTTTTTAATATATAAAACTTTAATATATCATAAGTCTGAAGTATTTTACAGGGGAAATCTGTAATGTTTGACTTTAGGAAAAATCTAGACTGCTTTGACTGTTATACTTTGCGGAAAATATGAACAGGGAAGCACTGCCTGGGAAGATACTGGAAGCATAATGCGTTGTCTTAGGGTACACCCTGCTGCCTAGTAAGCTATTCTAAGGTGTTAACAGTTTCTCCGCTTAACATGTGACCGGTGCGCACAAGTGTGAGTGGCGATAACCTCTATAAAAAAATACCCCACCAATGAATATTATCATAGTTACCCCTCTCCGTTTTCTCTTGTGATGTGGATTCCTAAAAAAACACCGTCTACGGGTTAATTACTTTAGTCAGTCAGTCACCGTTGATAATTATAGCCGTCAGGTAGCCCAGTCATCGTACTCAAGGGATTGTCAACGTGCTCAAGGGATTAATTCATCGTACTTAATGGGTTAAGTCGTCGTACTCAATGGGTTAAATGATCGTACTCAAGGGGTTTGTCATCATACTGAAGAGGTTCTTGTGGTAATAGTAGTAGTAGTAGGTAGGAGAGCTACTTATGTATTAGGATATTTAATATTAAGGTAATATAATGGTGGCGAAGGTGTGGCTATTGGGGGAGGCTGGAGGGCATTGTTTGAAAAAATAGTAATAATAGTAATAATAGATATTGTAGTATTAGTAGTAGGCAGATATTGTAGTAGTAGTAGTAGTAGTAGTAGTAGTAGTAGTAGTAGTAGTAGTAGTAGTAGTAGAATAATAATAACTACCTTAACAATGATTGTTATTGTTGACCTACTCAGTTGCCACACACCACCAACAAAACATCAACACTTATCACCCATTATCTAAAAAAAAAACACACAAAACTTATACAAAAAAAACACCATAAACACATAAATAAAACCCACCATTTGGCAAAAAAACTTACATACAAGAATAAGAAAAGAAACAAAAAAAATATATATAAAATTATGACTCTCCATATGGTAAGACAAATCCAAGATGGCCGCTCCCCCCCCCCGGAACCACGTGGTCGGAAAAGCGCGGGAAGAAACTGAACGAAAACATAAGACAATAATAACGTGTTTCTCTTTTCTTCGTTCTATTGGTAGATCAAATAATGACCGATAGTGACTGGGGGAGTCTTGAATCTGGAGAGGTCAGAGGGGGGAGGTCAGGGAGGGGAGGGGGGAGGGGGGAGGGGGGGAAAGGTCGGGTAATACGTGATGTAGCAAGTTGTGATGGTGGTAGTTATTGTGGTGATAGTTGTTGCTAGGGTCCTGGTAGTGGTGGTTGATGGTGATAGTTGTTATGGTGGTGGTTATGATAATGGTGGTTGTATTGTAATGACACACACACACCTTGGCCTACAAGCATGTTCTAACAGTCCTTCCCCCCCTCTTCTCCCTCCATCCATCTCCCCTTACCCATTCTGAACCTATCACCTTCCCTGTACCTTCCTCCTCCTACAGTAGCTCACCTGGACTGTGTGTGTGTGTGTGTGTGTGTAATTGACGTCAGGATACGGGCCATCAGAACACTTACACAGAGAAGGACCATCAGAACACGTACAAGGACCATCAGAACACTTACACAGAGAAGGACCATCAGAACACGGACAAGGACCATCAGAACACGGACAAAGACCATCAGAACACGGGCAAGGACCATCAGAACACGGACAAGGACCATCAGAACACGTACAAGGACCATCAGAACACGTACAAGAACCATCAGAACACGGACATAGTACAGTACTAAACTACACCCGGC